AATAATAATAATAATAATAATAATAATAATAATAATAATAATAATAATTATTATTATTATTATTATTATTATTATTATTGCTATTTCTGAAGCCTTATACATGCTACTACTCATAATGCAATTTTAATAATAATAATAGTGCTTTTTAAGGCCTATATTGTTGTTAAAATTATTATTATTATTATTATTATTACTGCTTTTTATTAGTAACAGTTCTTAAACATGGGGGAAAATTTATATTATTATTATTATAAAAAATTATTATTATATGGCAAAATAATAATAATTATTATTATTATTATTATTAGTAGTAGTAGTAGTAGTAGTAGTAGTAGTAGTATTAGTATTGCTATTTCTGAAGCCTTGTAAATGCTACTACTCATAATGTAATTTTATTAAAATAATAATAATAATAGTCCAATTTTAAGGTCTATATTTTTGTTAAAATTATTATTATTGTTATTATTACTACTGCTTTTTATTAGTAAAAATTCTTAAACATGGTAAAAAAATTGTTTTATATCACTTATAAACTTTAAATTTTTTATTATAAGTATTGTTGTTGTTATGTTATCTAATGTTAATATTTAGTTTATATCTATTTAAAATTGAAGTACATTATTTCTGCTCCACTAGCGTCACTGTACAAAAGTCACAGAGGTATGTCCCATTTCACATATTTCTGCACTATTCTTTACCATTTTGCAGTATGAAATGATGCATATTAAAGCCTAGATATATCTATATTGTGCTTATCTAACCTTTTGAACCTTCACACCCAAATAACAAATGCACACACTCATGCACACATATAGACATATTAATATTAATTAAACATGCTTCCATTAAGCCCTCTGATGTTTTACATAAGGTGACACAGAAGAAGAGAAACCTGACACATTTCACAAAAACATGAAAAAAGTGAAACGGAAGGGAGGGAGGGAGGGAGGGATGAGATTAGCATGAAGAAACAGAAAAGAGGTGTGTGTCCTCTCATTTTGTGTCATTATTGTCATCAGTGTGGTATGATAAGAGCCGAGTGTGTGTGAACGGGTGGGTCGATCTGGGTTATGCTGTCACATTCATAACAATTACACAGATGTTTATCAAACTCTTTTACAAGTAACAGCGCGTGTGCTGGAACCAGTTACCAATGAGGTTTGCATATTAAAATAATACCATATCTGCATTCACCTTCTT